CGACAGCGACAGCGCCAGCGCCACAGCGACAGCGACAGCGACAGCCACAGTACGCAGCCACGTTGAAGTCCCAGTGTGTGTGCCCGACATGAACTGCTGCACATGGCTGAGTTTTGATCGGCTCTTTGCGTTTCAGGTCTTGAAGGCGCCGGCTCGCTTAGGAGGCCCATCAGAAGCAGCAACCAGCTGCTGGCGACAACCAGCCAGTGGCTAAAGAGGGTCCGGAAAGGCTGCGTGAAAAGCACCTTAAACTTTGGGCGCGCGCCAAGGCATCTAGGCTTGTCTCAAAGCGAACACCTTGAAATCCCCAGTCTTGTTGTTGTTGTTGTTGTTGTTGTTGTTGTTGTTGTTGTTGTTGTTGTTGTTGTTGTTGTTGTTGTGGTTGTCGTTGTCGTTGTCGTTGTCGTTGTCGTTGTCGTTGTCGTTGTCGTTGTTGCTGTTGCTGTTGCTTTCCATTCCCCGATGTCGCATGTGGAAACAGTGTTGAGCGGGCGCGGGCGTGCTTGCCATTCCCCCCCCCGCCCCAGATAGGCGCGTCCTCACACCATCATAGTCAGTCATCGTCGATCGCTGGGACTAATTCACGTCAGTGCCAGCTGTGCTCATGAGCATATGTGTTGAGCCTTCGAGCCCCGGCGAGGAGGGGCGTGGGTGGTGGGTGGGTGCCCAACTTCCGTTTGGTTGACGTTGTCTGGGACAAGGGGTCTGCTTTTTAGGCCACGGCCGAAGCCTCATGCTTTTGCATTGCCAACCTGTAGCGATCTGGTTGAGATTTGTAAGGCCACGAGCGATAGGCTTTGCGTGGCTTGCAGATTTGGATTAGGCATCAGTGCCTAGCTTGGGTTGCTCGCCCTCCTTCAAAGCATCCCTGGGCCTGCAAGCCGCTGGGCTCAGCTTGTCAGGTGTCTTGCAGGGTTCTGCCGCGATGCAGGTTCGCAGCGCGGCGTTGGCTGCCGCTGCGCAAATCCTGCCACCAAGGGGGAGACGCCCGCCGCGTGCGTCATTGACCATTGCCAACTGCTTTTGGGCTCTCTGTCGCTGCGTGAGCAAAACGGCGTCTTGCAAAGACCTTAAAGAAGCGTCGGCTTCGAGTCTTCGAGACAGGCTGGGGTGCGCAAATTTGTCGTTCGAGGCTCAAGCTCGGCATTTTCACTTATCTCCACCCCTGTATAGCCCCTTTGCGCGACATCCTATCGCAGGCATGGTGCTGGCAGGGCAGCAAGACTGCTGGCGTGCCGTAAGAGCCAGTGCTCAAGTGGGCCCGTTCCTGTCCGAAACCTCACTGATTGCGGATTATGGGTTGCGTAGTCACAATTGGAAGCAGATCTGAACGAGTGCTTCTAGCTTGGTTTCTTTGTTGGCGCGACTCTTCCTTTGGCGAGCAGTCTGTGAGCTTCAACTGCAGCGTGTTGAAGGAACTTTCATTGTCTGCCAGTGAGTTGAACGGTGGGCGCCTAGCAGCAGGGGCGCGCTGCACCAACAAGCTGATCAGCGCAGATGGACACTTGCCCTTCAAAAAGGGCCAAGTGTCGAGATCCGGCGATGCGTGCTGCAGCAGCCAGCCAAGCTGCAGGTCTGACACTCAGGCGCAGCCAGAGCCACAGGGACGCAGTAGCCGCGCGCAGGTTGAGGTGGGTGCAGTTGAGCAGCGGGTGTGCTTATTGCTTGGCTATACCTTGTGGCGGCGCGGGGGCCGCCTCGACTGAGCGACGAAGTTTTCCCACGCGGGTCAAAAAATGCGAGGTGTTTTGCAGCCTTTGCTTCGCAAGGCTGGAGTGAAAGGGCTGAAGGCTTCAGGTTTTTACAGCAAGTCTGTGGTTGGCTGCTTGGGAGAGGCGCTTGCCCCGCAGGTTTTTCACGTCTACATAGCTTTCTGCGGATTCGCAGTGCTTAATGTGATGTGGGGGACTCAGTGTTCGCCGAGCACGGGAGTATTTTGTGGGTGTTTTGTGCTTGTGCCCGTCAGAAATTCGTTTGTTTCCGAGCAAACTTGTTGCACTGTCGACATGTGCAAGATTGGAGCCCAAAACCACAATGCGCAATGGATTGCTACACCCTTGACCCTTGAGCGCTTGGATTGCTTTAGGGAGGCCCTTGCAATAATACATCCTCTGCAAATTGGACCATGTGACATGTGGCCCGGGTGAGGACCACATTCGGAAACGCTGGATGTAGACCATAATTGCGCAAAACTTGTTTCTGGTGAGTTTGGTTATGCAGCCATGCATTGGCAATGAATAACCCTGCGAGTTTGCGTCCGGTTACAGTGTTCAGACGCTACGTGTTCGGGTATGCCAGTGCCAAAAAACAGTATGTTGACTTTCTTCGTGGGGTCTAACATTTGAACCCTTTTGCCTTTTGCCTTTGCATGATGTGTTGCTCAGCTTTGGTTTGGTAAGTTGCTTGTATAATAAGGTGTTTTGGACCATGTGGAAAAAGTCTTTGTCCAGCGCAAGTATCTGCTGAGATCATTCTCTTTTTTTGCCATGGCCTCCGCAAGTTCGTTTGTACTGCGACGGTGCAGCCCCCCCTACGCTATATGTGCTATGCAAACATGCTCTTCACAAGAGCAGTGCGCGGTTGCCCTGTGCAAATCGTAGCACGATTTGTGCAAACGAGCCTTCATGCATATCTAGGCTGTGTGCAAAACACCTGCTGTAGTATGTTTCTGCAAGCAGGTGTTTGCAAACAAGCTCTGTGCAACTTTCCCCCCTGCACAGTCGGAGCACCAAACTGCGGGTTTATCAACTGTAAGTTGACTTGCAGGGCACCATTGCATCGTTTTGGCCTAACCAATGCAGGTCCGTGCTGACAATACGGCAGTGGGTCAAAAATTAATACCCAACATGGAGCCCTGGTAAATGGAAACATGGACTAAAACCTGCGGTCCCCTGTTGGTTTAATTTTGACCTGCCCCCATATGGTGGATGAGACGTGTGCGTTCTTTGGCCCGCGTGCTTTGATTTCCGAGGACGGGAGTCTTTGTGAACTCCGCCATCAAAACCCGGGAGAAGGACCACGAGACGCTGATGCAGAACAAGGTGCGGTTCCGGGACCTCGTGTCCAAGATCTGGGCGAAGACGCTCGGTGGTGGGTCACGATCCGGTTCCTTGGGCTGGTCGGCTTTTGGTGGGCTTTTGGTTGGCTTTTGGTGGGTGGTTTCCACTAAACCGAAAGTTATCCACTTTCAGCAGACCTGAAAGCGGACAGCCCAGGTTTCAGAGCTTGGGACTTTCCAAGCCTGGGCCCATTTTTTTTGTGGGGAGCCTTGCACAGCTGGGTGGATTTTGGGGGCTTGAGGATGGATTCAGATGGCCTGGGCCAAATCACCATTACGGAATTCGAGCGGCGGCTTGGCAAAACTGGCGCCAGATGGGACCACCCGAGGCTTGAGCAATGGAAGGAACAAGTCGGGATTTTCCTTCAAAACACGCCATATGATGGATGGGTTTTTATTGGGGTCGTTCCATTTCTCATGTCCTTCTGAGCAGCAAGATAAACCCAAATCCTGATGGATTGTTCCCTTATGAGTGCTGGATACCAGCCAACTGGCGCTGGATTTTGTCTAACAGATACTTCGACTTGGTGGTTGGACCGAGCCCATCCGGTTCGAGAAAAGGTTTTAAGTGCTTTTAGCTGGTTTAGCGGGTGGTTTTCCGAATTTAAGCGACTAAAAGTTAAAGCTTTTAGCGGGGATCAGTTTGGATAGCCCAGTTGCGGCTTGCGCGAGCGCCCAGGTTATTTGACGATGATAATATGAAGGCTTTCTTTCAGGCCATTGAGATCAATGCCGTTGATGCTCCTCAGCAGCAAGATCCTTCAGTTCAATTCAGAGACGTTGCAAAGAGATGCCAACAGTCAGTGAGGTGGAATGGCTATTTTTATCCGGGCCCCATTTATGAACATCATTTGGGCATGCTTTGAGGATACCCCTTCATTGTGGTTTGAAAAGGAAACCAAAAGGACAACAATTTTAGTGGGTCCCCTAAAAAAGACCCCCCTTTGAATTTATATGTATGTCTTTTCCAGCATGTTTTTTGCACTCGTGGTCAAACCCACCCGAAGTCGGTTCATTTGGGGACACGCCATGTCCCATGCCTTGGGCTTTGATTGATTTGGCTCCCGTCACATTTCCCTCGATGGTTTTACGAACACCAAAGTGAGCTTCCCTCTGTGATGTTTTTGACATCGATTTCTTTTTTTTTTTCCGGGAAGTTCCCTCTCTCTTTTTGGCCCAAGCAGCTGCAAGCTATGGGGTCTCTGCCCAGATAGGTTCTGGGGTAGCCGTTTCAAGGAAGGCTTCCGGAGATTCGGGGTGTTCTTTTTTGCCACCCATTTGTTTGGCCAAGGCATGGACCCTTTTTGACAGCCTCGACATTGACGGGGACCACACCATCAGCGTGGACGAGTTCATGGAGCCTTCAAGTCACTTAAGTCATGGAACTTTTCGGACCCTACAAAAGTGAACATTGCAATCCCCCCCGCCCGAAAGGGCGCAGAGGCCTTCGAGCGGAGTGAAAAACAGACAAGACAAGCACAAGCTTTCTAGGCTCGACCGCGCTTTTCACACGCAACGCATCAAACATATATATATATATATATGTATGTGTATATGTATAGTATAGACAAGCTTATAGTCATCAATCTGTTTCGCAAAGAAACCACAGCTCCATGAGTTGCAGGGCTCGGTCGCCTCAACAACAAAAGCACCCAGCGATGTCTTCGCGGCTTTTGGGCACCGAAGAAAACCAGTTCGGGTGACTCAAAGTTTCTGCGAGATTCCATGGCACCGAGCTCTGGAGGTTTCTTCCTTTTGGTTTCGCCAAGAACAGGCGCTGACAGAGACCCATCCACTCGCTGTCCTTTTGTTTGGTTCATGGCGTTTTTGTCGGGCGCTCCTCTAAATCAACGGCAGATGTTTTTGATGGGCCCCAGGTGGTGGGATAAGTTCCGCAGTTTCCAGTCTTTTTGCCGTGCTTTGCAGCAAAACAGCACGCACCGAGCTAATTTTCAGCTGAGATGGTGCCAGCTCCAAGGATTGGACATGGGATTTGTTTGTTCATGTTTTTCCGATGGCTGAAGTTTTTTTTTGTCCTTTTTAACATATGTACCAACCGACAAACTCAAGAGACGCCGCGCCATACACTCAAGAGACGCCGTGCCATACACCCAAGAACCCCCGAATGGTGGTCCCAAACTCATATCTCCTGCTGGCCGGGTTTGTGGCACCGATACTCGCCGCTCGGGCCGCTCGTCGCTTGTCCTTCGAAGGAGCGCTGTATGCAACTCCACGGCCCAGCGCGGTCTGTGGACCTCTACGCCATCAAGAAACAACTCCGGGCGCTGGAAGGCCCCGGGACCCGCTGGGCGTCGCTGAACCAAAACGAGCGAGCCACTGGCTTACCAACGGTCCCGAGTCGGTCGGCGGCTCAAAGCCAATTCGGGCAGATAAAGGTTCAGGACATATATTTTTCCTCAAGTTCTGATTCCTTGCGGTAGGCCGGTTTAAGGGTTTGAGTATGACTCAGGTATCCTTTTTAGGTTAGTTTGGTTGGACACAGATGCGTTCCACTGGCTTAGATTGGCTTTGTGCTCATTTTACCAAGAAAACCCATCTATTTTTCCAAAAGTCCAATGCACGAACCATGAGACGGCGATTCTCTCTTTTCTTGGTTGGGAGTTAGGACAGTTTGCGGTTTGGGTGGGTCAACCCGGAGCCTCTCACACAGGTTGTCTTGACTCCACGGGTTGCTTTTTTCGCCTTCCGAGAGGTTTTGGGATGAGTTCAGGGCTTGAGCAGGGCAGTTTGCCATTTGCAAGATGTGGCTTTTTCAGCACCAAAATAAGGTGGGACGCCGCCATTTACAAGTTGCAATGGTTCAGGTGTGTAATGTAAGGATCCCTGTTGAGAGTGGAGAATGCCCAGATGGTTCATCTGGGGGCACGGCTCGCGCGAGGGGGTTGATTTGTATTAAGGGATCTACTGATGGACGAAATCCATTTCGCACCACGTTGAAACCAGAGGAACCCATTGTTTGTTGGTATTTACAGGGGAATCATCATTCCAAGGTTTCTTCGGTGGTACAGGATTTCGTCCATCCACAGTATGACAGCCAGAACCATGTGGAAGTGGCACTGCGGGTCCATCATGGATTCCATTGGCCAAAGATAGGTTTACCCGGGTGCAACTGAGCAAGATCAGTATCCGCAGATCAATATTCATGTTTTAGCACGCTTCGTCAGCTTCATCTTTTTTGTGTGCTTCTTTTGATTTTGTAACGTCAGATGAGCCTGTAATTTGATCTAATTCTTGTTGTAGGGCGTAAATCCTCTCTTTTATAGGAAGCTGTATTTGTTTTTTCCAAAGTTATGTTTTTCTTCTTCTTATACGGCCCCAAAAGAGGTTACCCAAACGGATTCCACCAACATGTCACTGCAACTACCCATTTCGTCTTGGCTGGCACCTTTTCCGGAGTGTCCAATGGGGTCTCCCAGTAAAAGGCAGAGCTTCTGGGCTAGTCCAATGCGGTTGTTGTACAAAGGGAACCAACAGGGAACCCTTGCCATTTTCAGGGACCGATCCCGTTTGCAGAAACACAACATGGGTATGGGTCAAAATTAAACCACCAGCAGGTTTTAGTCTACTTTTCCATTTACCAGGGTCCCATTTTGGTCACTTATTGTTGACCCACAGCCACATGATCACTTTTACGGCCGCGCCAGTCGTGCAGAAGAAGATGAGCGAGAGCATTTTACCCTCTGTCATGCGAGCTGTGCGGGCGGATCGGGACCGCGACCGTTGGTCCTGCTGAGACATGCCAATTGGTGTGATTTTTCTTTTTTCGGTGCCTACCCTTTTGCTGTTTCAAAGTGAAGCCCAAGAAGAACCAACCCATGTTACAGAGTCAATGTTTTTTGGCATGCGCACGGAAAACAGATCTTGAAGTTTAACTCCAGTTTCCTGATGCGGCTCAGCGGCGAATGTTTCACCAGCTTTTCAACCGTTGGAGATATATCATCGGCAGCTTGGGATGCGGCGGTTACCGCAGACGATTCTCTTCTCGCCCTAAGGGCCGAGGAAAGATGTCGGTCGGGTCGCGTGGAAAAAAGGCACAAAGAAAGCCGTCCGCATCCTCCACACGCCCAATTCTTGGGCGCCAAGCCCAAAACCTGAGTGGGTCCCGATTCACGCAAGTGCGAGTTTTTTTTGGGGGACTTTTAGGGTTGGCGTGAAGGGGAGTTACAGGACAATCACCAATTTTGAGAGTTCCCCCCTACTTTGAGACAAGCTCCCAATGGGTTCCCTTTCCCTTGTCACTGATTCAAGGCGCCGGCATCGAGTTGCCCAATGAGAAGGCGACTTTGACTTTGGAGAGCCTTGGCCACGACTCAAGGAACGCGGAGTGACATGGAACCAAGCACCACGACCACGTGTAGACCTTGACCCAGTTTGGTTGTGGGGCCCAAGCTTCAACGAAAACCGGGGGTTCGAAGTTAGGGCCCAAGTTTCCTGAAACAACCTTGTCCGCTGAAATGAGCAACCAAAACTGATTCCAGAGCCCATTTTAGAAGGTTCTTCGCAGTTTCAATGGCTTTATAGTTTATAGCCAGGCCAATAAAACTCTTTGCAACCATCTTAACAAAAAGGTCGGCACTCGCAAGCCCCCGCTCCGCGCAGCATTGGGGGCCCCTAAAACAATCTTGGGGCATGAAAACGCCGTGCGGCGGGGCCACAGGTGTCGGGAACAGTGGGATTTGGGTCCGTTGAATGAAGGGCTGCCGCTTGAAGGCTTGACAGTTTTCACTTGGGGCGTCTCCGAGGTGCGCTTTCGCCGAGCCAGACTCCGTGCGTTGGGGAAGTTTTGGAGGTGGGAATTGAAGTTTCGGACGTGCCAAAGTCTCACGCAAAATGAACTGGTGATATGTGAGGCATGTAGAGAGGTGAACTTGGCTTGCCCGCCAGAATTGATGTACGTTGCTCTACGATAGTTTATTTTGGCTTATATTTCGCCTTTGACAGGAGACTCATTTTGCTGCGAGGGAGATACGAATCTCTTGTGCAATATTCTAGTAGACTTGCTCCAAAAATCAGTGTTGCCCTTGGATGCACTTTTTTGGAGGCATAGTTCTGCCTCGAAAGAGATGTGCAGAGTAGCCAACATACGTGTATGTGTGTGTATATATATATATATATATATGTATGCATGCATGCATGTATAATGTATATATATACGCACACTTTCAAACACACATATATATATATATAGCTGGAGTCCGGCCAATCCGTCAGCTCGTGAGAGAAAGGAGCATACAAAGCCGGATTGCAGGTGGGAAGTCAGACTACATCCGTCGCTGGGTTCGCGCAATTTGCGAGCTCACAGCAGGGCTCTCAAAAACTGAGATCCGCACGTGGCATTTTAGTGTGTCTTTTTTGGGGTACCCCCCAAAATGGTGGTTTTCCTTTTTTTCCGGACCTTTAACACCCAACCCAAAGGTGGGTCCCCTAAAAAAAGACACCCCTTGAGTTTACCAGAAATCATCCTGAACGGTCAGGCCAGAAGCAAGTGAGTCAAAAGGGGTGAAGGGATTCGTGAGTCAACTCAAGTGACAGTCAAAGCAAGTGAGTCAAGAAGGGGGGACATTTGGGATCCTGAAGGTTTTTTTCTTCTTTTTTTTCTCCCTGGCAGATTGCCTCTTGCGTCACTATGTTTTTTTGGAAGCATGCGCTAGAGGAGTGCTCGCCCGAGGCTGTCATCCTCTTTTTGATGACTTTCTTGAAGTATCCCTACTCTCGGTATGCTTGAACCTTAGCTGCTTGCTGCGAAAGCTGAGTGCAGCGAAAAGACTGGCCCAGGTCATGTCCTTTTCCTACGCCGAGACTGGAACTCCAAACAACCTCAATGGAAGCTCGGATTCTGGGATGTGATTTGTCCTGCCCAAGAGCTTAGCTGAGGAAAGTTTCTGATGCTGATCTCAATCATCGCCCGAGCCCGAGTCCAGCGCATTCGGGCCATTCCGCGTCTCGAGCCCCGGTCCGTGAGTAAAATCGACGCCTCGACGCTTCGACGGAGGCCAACCAGGTGATTTATCTCTTCAGCGACAAGGTGGCTGAAGATATGCACTTTTGGTTTCGCAGCTGCAAATGAGTGCGTGTGCTTGCGGCGTGAATTCCTTGCGTTCTTGAATGCGTGCGTGCGTGCGTGCGTGTGTCTGTGTGTGTGTGTGTTCACGGTGTGTGTTTTATGAGGTATGCTTGATAGGGTTGGTTTAAAGGGACATGAAAAGAAAGCCATCATTGAAGGGCTCGAAAGACCCATACCCCACAAGGCGATTCAGGAGGCAAGTCGATCTGCCACGTGGGTAAGAGTCCTTCAAGTGGGTAGGTGCCTTTGCCGGGCCCCCAGAAATGCCACCTTTTAGGGATTCCAGGTGAAAACTTGCAGTAACACAACTTTTCATATCTTGAGGTTAGAATCAGCGGCTGTTTTCTCGGACTTTGTTCTACTTCTTGCTCTAATGAATTACCTAATTAAATACTGAAAGTAAGGGAACATGGTCATTTCCATTGTGTTGGATGGGTTGCTTGCCCAAAAAGGGTTTCTCAAAACAGGGATCCCCCTCGAATGGTTGGTTCCAGTTTGGTTTCCCTTGAAATACGAACCAAAAGGGGTCCATTTTCAGAGTCTCCTGTTCAGGCTATATGCTGTTCTTATCTCGATCTCGTTCTCTTCTTTCTTTTCGAGGTACACCGAGCACAAGCAGAAAGCCTACGTGGCCTTCTACGTGGTGGCCATGGTTCTGGAGCTGATGCTTGCAGAAGTTAGGATCTTCCCACCCGAAAAGGGAGCTTCCAGACACCCGAGAAAGAAAAGGGGAGCATTTGTGAAACAACATGCACAAAGGGGGATTTGTCTTAGAAAATACGCTACATGGGAGTGGCTCAAAATTAAAGGTTTCCAGGGCAAGTGGTACATATTTTTGAGCCACATGTCGATAATGTTCACTTCAGTGCTAATCAGAGGTTCCGGTGGGGAAATGAGCCACAATCAAAGCCCGGGTAATAGGGTAGTAAGGGACAATCCCAGCCAAAAAAGGCGCGGCCGCCTTTACAATTCTTTACATGGTTCTTTGGGTTCCTTCTGGAGTAGGGTTCTCCAAATTTTTGAAACGCCGCCGTTTGAAACTGCCAATTTCAGGCGAGAATCCTGTTGTTGGGGTGGTGTTTAAGGGAGAAGTATAGGGAGCCCAGCTTTGTTCCTTGGTATGACCAGAATAACCTTTGACACTTTTGACAAATTCCAGCGTCCCCAATGACCAGAAGTGTAAGCTCTTGGAGGGGGTACTGCTTGGCGTGGGGAAGGCGGGGAAGGCGTGGGAATGGAATCTGCCGAGGATGATGGATTTATTCTTCACTGCAACAACGACCTTCAACCAGCTGAACGCTGTGCCAGGGCGCAACATTCATTCGTGCCTGCCAATCCGAAATTTGAGTGGGTGATTTGTTTGCCAATTGAAGGGATCAAGCACCACAGAGGGCAGTGTTTTTGCTTGATTCCCAGCTGTGAATCTTTTCCTCTTCTTTGTTTTCTCCCACTTGGTGCCCTTTTCAGATCTGCTTTACGGGGGCTTCAACCCGAAAACAAACCAAACCACAACCCTAGTTTCAGGGGGTTATTTTTGCAACCGACACTCAAAATTCAAGAGCCAGGGCAACCCGCTGGTTTTAGTCTTTCCATTGCCATTTTGGGGATTCCCCCTTCTTTTTTTTTTCTCGGCCGCCAAGCGGATTGATCTTTTCCCCTCCGGTTTGACTTTCGGGAGAATGTGGGCGACTTCAGGCGGGCAGGCGGACCTACGGCGGCGTGCAGCTCTACGACTTGCCAAGTTGGCCCCTTCGCTCGAGAGAAAACGAGAGAGAGCGAGAGAGAGGCGTGAAGCAAGGAGATTCAAAATCGATAGGCAATTCCAACGGGAGATTCAAAAGGATATTCGAAAAGCGATTCAATCAGGAGATTCGCAAGGAGTTTCAAGCAGGCGTTTCAAACAGGATATTAAAACATGAGAAGGCGTTTCAATCAGGAGATCCAAGCAGGACATTCAACATGCGATTCGTCAGGCGATTCAAAAGGAGTTCAAACCGGAGTTTCAAACAGCAGTTTCAAACAGGAGATTCAAACTCGGTTCAAAAGGAGTTTCAGGCAGAGGTTGCACACAGGAGATTCAAACAGCGGTTGCAATCAGGAGATTCAATCAGGAGAGTCAATAGGCGATTCAATCAGATTTGGGAAGCTGATCGGATCTTGGAAGACTACGGTGGCAGAGGTTGTCTTCACTTTGAACGATTCAGAAGGAAGCCACAAACCAACAGGATACCAAGCAAAAGGACGAACAGGAACTCAAAGGCTATACATTCCAGCAAAGCAGAGAACCAAAGCTGAATTGCGTAATCTCAAAACTCGTGCTTGGGTTGACCGGGCAAGGCACATGGTGATTGAGACCTATGTGATGCAGAATGCTTTGGGCAACCAGCTCCTTGAGCAGCTCGGACAAGTTGGGCTTGTACACTGGTTGGCAGTTCGATTGAACATGCTTGTGCAGACGCTTGGATTTGTTGATTGGAGGTACCACATGCTTTGGGTGAGGGTTGTGTGCCCGTGTTGCACTTTTCGCTTGCCGAGCTACGCTTTCCCCTCCACCTTCATCGCGCCCTTCCTTTTCGAGCCCATCCTGGGCTTCCTGCTCTTCCACATCGGCAAGCTCATCGTGCGCTCGCATTCCGAGATCTCACCTTACCGGGCGCAGCGCCTCGGCAAGCGCCCGAGGGAGCAACGGGGCCTGGCCGCTTTTGTTCGCCACTCTGCATGGGACCTGGCCCCTTCATGGCTACGTCGGGGTATGGCCCCCAGCTCTGCAAGGGTAGAACGTGACTGCCTTGGTTGAAGATGAGAGGAGCTGCGGTCTTGCACGTCAGAGGTTCCCCTTGAGTAAATATTCTTCAACGGGATGAGAGCTCCTCGTACCAGTATCAGACTGTGCGGAAACAAGTCAGTTTTGTGGGCTCAGGTGGCTATGAACTTTGAATTTGGCTTGTGGAATTTTGATGTCCACCACAGGGTCCGGCATCCCTTGAACTTCATGTGATCAGGTGAGTCACCCCTGACGCAGGGATGAAAAGCTAGACACAGCGGGCCGAGCTGCGTTAGACAACTCGCGCGAATCGGCAGACCTGCGGGCGAAGTCCATGTTTTGGGTTACCCCAAGGCAGACTTGGACCCAGGGCTTTCCCTTTGGGGCATCAACCACCCCTGGGTTGAAGTTTGCTTTGGGGGTAATCACAACAAGAACTCATACCTCTACGCGAGGCTTCTTTGTTTTTTTTCCAAACAGGTGAATACACCATACCTCATACCTCATGCAAATTTCCAAAAACTACTCATACGTCATACCTCTACCCATACATTTGATTTTTTTCAAAACAGGTGAATCCGATCAAGCCGTGGCGATGGCGACTCTTAGAATCCCAAAGGCCGGGCTTCATTTTGCCCGGCTTGGCATCCACGCCTATGGATTAGACACCCAGCTTCAGGTTGAAGCTAACGAGTCTTTGCACCAAAACCAGTTGTGAGAGAGCTTGCATTTACATGATGAAACATGTTCAACATAGTTGTTTGTCATACACACCCACACACACTCCCAATCAGAATGCTGACCAGTTAGATTGCATTTAAAGCTACTCGGTCTTAGTTGGGGCTGATTGACCCCGGTTTGCCCGTATTTACTCCTTACTTTGAGGAACGGGTATGGTCCAGGGTCAGGTGAAACCTGTGATTGAAAGCGAAAGGTTTGCGCCCTTTCAGAAGCTTGCGCCACCTAAACAAGTTGCACCATGAAGCCACTACTGTTCTTCAAGCAACCCCCTCTTCGTTTCCCTTTCAAGGGCCTGGATTGGCCGGTTTTCTCTCCACGTCTTGGAGCCATGCTTGGTTTCGGGGTTGGCCATTGTTTGTCTTTGACACATGTTGCAGCGCATTGAGCGCTTGGACCCAGAACGCGCCTCCGACCCTTTTTTCTTCCTTCTCGAAATCTGTCCATGTCCGAGGAAGCTGGTGCAGTGGTTCTGGATCAATGACCTCTCGCGGTACGGCGACATCATTCTGAACCTGACGATCGCAGCCAGGGCCTCAAGCTGAAAGCGGATTCCCCAAACCGAAGCAAGGCACAAAAGTCTCTGAAAGGATACAACCGTGGGTCAACACCCCGTACCCCCAGTGAACATGGTGCATCTACCCCAAAATGGGGGTGGCAGGTCTTTTTTTTTAGAAATCGGGCCTCAAAAACAGGGGTGGCTCCCTTTTGGGTTTCCCTTAGAAGACCACCAAAGAGAGGTACCCTTAAAAAAGACACGCCAATCAGCTGATTCACAGCAGAGTAGCTGATTGAATGGATCCACTTGTACTTGTAAATCAGGTGGTTTCTGGATGTATCCTTTGCCAAAAGGACAGTCCTTGTATGTGGTTCTACCTGGTTTCGTGGGGTTCAAGAAGTGAGGCCTATACAATTTGTTATACCTCGTTTCATGGGTAGTAGGCCAATTGCAGATCTAGACCAATATGATATTGTTAGGAGAACCCACAGTCACTGGGTTTGAGCGTTGTTAGTGTGTTTAGTGTTAACCGTTTTGGCGTGTCCAAAAAAACCAAACACTACACAACCAAAAGAAACGCATTGTCCGGCCCAGAATCGAAGGAAGCGCCGCTTGTAGCGATGTGAGTACCAATGGGACATTTTTGGAATCTGCTTTTTGGTTCGATAGGCAGGGAATGAGAAATGGAATGACCTCTGTAAACCATCCCCTATGAATGAGTTGGAATGACCCCATAAACCATTCCCTGTGGTTTCCTTTAAGGGAACGACCTGTTCATTCCCAAAACCCGGACTCGGTCATTCCCTAGTTATCGCACCAGCAAGTCTCTACGAGTGTTTCTCAAAGTTTTTGGCTTCCTCTTTTGGCTGGCATTCAAACGGGAGCCAACAAAAAACACCTGTTGCCAGTTTACGGACCATTTAGAGAAACCTTCGGTGATGTTGATTCAGCCACTCGCTTGACGTTGACTCGTGCAGGTCATTTTCCTCTCCATCCATGGAGGGTTCAATTCCAGGGCCTTTGGCTACCTGCTAGCTGCTTGGAATTGAGTCAGAGACGTGGGGATGCATTTCTGTGTGTTTGTATTCTAACATTTTATATTTTTAAAGCGGACATGTTGTGTGAGATGTCAGTCTCGCACAGCGGCGTCTTTCTCGTGATTTGGGCGCACAGCGGCTTCAATGCAGCGATGCTTTTGCATCTGAGGTCTGCCATCTCTACATTTATGTCTTTGATCACTGGATGCTGCTGCGGGCCATGCCGCGAGTCAAGTACAACTTGATGGCCGTGGATACGCTGGCGCCGCCCAGATGAATTCACTACCCATTGCCAGCTTTCAATTTTCCGCCTGGGCAGCTGAGGCATGTGCTGATGTCAATTCCCAGCGGAATGGCGCTGTGCTGTGTCATATTCAAGGCAAACTGCAAGAACATGCTCCCAAGCTGAGCCAGTTGGGCGGTCCCGGTTTGTAAGCCAATGCCCCTTCTCCATCGGGGGGCCAGTGGTGCCAAGAAGCGCAATCTTCTGGACTTGGAAGGGAGAGCAACTCACAGAATTGCTGATCGCGTATGAGGGAGGTACCACCTGCACTCACGCATATGCTGGGGTGTAGTAGCGCAAGGGGCTCTCGAATTTCTCAGGGCCAACTTTTGTTCCTTGGGTAATGGGTGATTTGGTCCCGAGAGAGAGAAGCTCAGAACCACCAGAACAAAAAAGAAGAACCGCCGGGGAAGAACGAAGGAACCACACCCCGGCCGAGGCTGGAGCACCCCTATGGCAAGCTCTGGCCTTTTCCCAACTACTGCGTGACCAGCATGAATCTCATAGGACCCGAAGAGACTCACCCGGTTGAGAAATCCGCACAGCGGCCAACAAACAACGGAATTCTGGTTTGCCTTCGAAGGCCAAGGTGCGAGGCGATGAACGGAACGCTTGTTTGCAAAGCTGGAAGGGGGGAAGGGTCTTGTTGTTTGAACAGTTGCCCAACCCATACGCCTTGCTCGAAATGATAAATGACATCGAGCCTGTCAACGTTGCGCTGGTGACACTTTGAGTTCTGACCGGATATGAGATCGAAGTTGAGCAATCTAAAATACGATTGGGCGTTTGCACTGCATGATGTAGCATGTGATGCTCTAAAGCAAAATCCACGCCAGGCACCATCTGGGATTGGTGGACTATCCACCAGTATCTGGGTGAGATGGCACCCCTTTTTGGTTGGTTTTAAAGGACCCCAGGAATGCTTCGAGCCATTTTGTGGGTCCCTGCAAAAAGATACTCACATCTGCTGGGTTCAGTGGGATTGCACACGCAGTTGCGATCGGAGGACTCCTCGTCGCGGCCTTCTTAGTGCACACGATCATCCACGTGTTGATCGTGTAGCCCGGCCGTTTTGTAGGAGTAGAGCTGCAAATGGCCATGGGGCATAACCTATGGCTCCATTTTGGGGTGGATGAACATCCATTTGCCACCTATTATGTTCACCAGGGGTACAGGGTTTTGACCCACAGCCAAATGGGTAGAGGGAGGTGGAAGGCCGCTCACTCTCTAAAGTCAGAGGGTTTTGGGATCCAAAACCCAGCCGCCGATGAAGGCTCACCAGATGAGGTATTTGTTGATGACCTTCATCCGCGTGAAGCACAACGGGTATGAGGTTGATTATTTGAAGGCGGCCACTTGTCAGCTTCAGCGCTGGCCCTGACGACAGATCGGTGAAGAACAACGTCCTCAAGCTGCGGAATGACATGGTTGAAACAGACACCCGCAAGAGTTGTATGGGCCTGTCTTGTTAGGGGACCCCGTTTAGAAATCCGTTTGAAGGCACCAACCAAAAAAGGCGGAAAAAACAACTCAAAACAAGACAGACTTTTATATGAAGGGCCCATTTCAGCATGACCTCACGAGAGCGAGCGAGGCCAAGACAAGCCCGTGCACCTGGTTCTCTGCGAATCCGGTGCACTGCCTCCGCTCGGAACATTTGAAGCACGACTCGCCCCACTGCCGCGCCTTGGACTGAACGCGGTGAGCACCTTTTAAGGTCGACTGGGTTGTACCAGCTTACGGCCATTCTGATTGATTGGGGGGGGGGGCGCTGGTTCCTTTGTGTTGAATTTCCGGCTGCACAAATATGGTTCCGGTTGCAAAGCTATTTAGCAGTTGTGCAAAACTGGCAGGGGCCACGCTTCTAAACAAGTTCGCATAGGGATACTTTCGCTGAATGATGACTGCTTCCTCTCACGTGCGTGCTGTGGCGTAGATTCATCTACCCTTCCACCAGCTAACATGGAAGTGCACAGACCCCAGTAGAAAGACTACTTTCCTCTTGGAAAGGGCATTTTGCACTTCCATGTTAGTTGGTGGGAGGGTAGGACCCCCAAAAAATGGCTTCAGCTTGCCTCTTGGCTGCCCTTAACAAAACAAAAAACAAACACCTCAACATGGGCACGCCAGAAAACGAGAGAAATGCTTGCTCGGCCGAGCTGAGGCCACCACGTGCCGGGCCGGGAGCATTTGCTTCGGGCGAACGAGAAGTGGCTCGGTGGTTTTGGTTTCGGGATCGCAGACAGCACGGAGCCCGGCGAGTGCGGGTCAGGACCCAACCAAAGCTCGTATCATAGGTTTGGGGCAGAGGCCTTGCCGCGGCTGTCAGCGGATTCGAGTCATCCATGGATACTTAGACTGGGGTACTTTACTTGTCATGAACGTAAGAGAATAACGTGTGCACTGCTTTATCCCCCTACCCTGTGCTTTCAGATGCCACTATGGTAGGTAACCAGGTATTTCACCCCAAGGTTTTACATGACGGTCTGCCCTTGTTGCAGCACCTGCAGTCTTTCGTTGCCTCGCTCCCTGCATTCTTGGCTCGCCAAGGATCGGCTGCAGCTTCGAGCACCTTTGCAGCAGAATTCGAGCGAATTCGTCCATGCGGTAGATTGCGTCCCATGGGTGGCTGTTGGTCTGCTGAACATCAACAATTCCCAAATAAAAACCTCAAACCAAACAGACCCATGGATCCGTACTTTGTTTGGTCATTTTCCGCGATTTCGTGTGTGGTCCATATGGGGTTCGGGAGATTGGGACTAGCTTAGTTGGGCTGACCGAGGGCAGGGTGGGCATTGACGGCAAAGCTGGAACTCAGCTCTGCATGTTGGCTACTTGCTTAGCTGTGTTTTCTCAGTGGATCACCCCAGGCCCAGAAAGCGAGGTTGGCTTGAACTGAGGGATCCGGACCTCTACAGCGCCGCTGAGTTGCATTGGGCGTGTTGAGTTAAAAGTGGCAACTTAAGGGATGACACCTGGCTGGTTCTGAGTGAGCCGCCCAGGGCATGAACTGGATCCCCTAAAAGGAGACCACAACGAATCCTTCTTGGATCACTCCCTCATTCACTGAAAACAACCCGCGGTCGAAGTCTTTGCCCACTTCCTTCATCCTGTTTTATTTTTATGGCAGGTGAAATATCGCGGCTGGCATTTGCTGAGCAACACGTGACTCTGACCGCCTCGGCACGATATCTTCCAGCGCCAAATCGTGCATCGGTTGGGGCCACGGGCAACGTCAAAGCTGCTTGCCACAGCCATGGGCTCGTGAATTGGTTTAACATGCAATGGCCTTTGAGTAAAGCAAAAGAAGTGATAGTTCCATAGCCAGTTGGAGGTCCAGAGATTTTCTGGGTAGCTCTCTGGCAACTTGGCCAATCCCGCCTTAGAGTTCGTAGCCTTGGAGCTTGGCCTGCGCTCCCAATCAATTGGGTCGCTGGCTGGGAACTGGCGTCCGCGTGCGAAAGCTGCCAAAGAGGCTTGCGCCCACCTGGCGCATGTTTGAACCACTGTTTAAACCCATCCCATGGGGTTTCAACAGGTGCTGCTTATTCAGTTCTCGCAGAGCACATGGGCCACCGCCGAATGTTCGGCCAACCTCGCTGCCGTTTTTTCGTCTTGGCCTGGCTGTTCCCGCGAAGGAGGGATCCGGGTTGCGGTTGCGGGGAGCAGAGCGGAGCACTCGAAATTTGCCGCGGAAGCGAACTTGGACTCAGCTCTTGCGGTGCATTTGGCAGGCTCGGCCTTTCATGGATTCAAGGCTCAGGTTGAGGTAGGAAGGAACAAGAAGCGCGCCTTGTAATGTCACAGGCCCAGAAGAAACGGATAAGCAGCGGTTACACCCTTTTGGTTGTGACAATTTTTGCCAGCAAATCTCTGGCTTACTGAATGTCGCGCAGCGGACATAGGTTTCTTACTATGGCCTGAAGCACGATGGGAAAACTGCGTGAAGACATGTGGAAGACTGCAAGACTGCGGGAATACTGCAAGAACTGAGGAAGACTGCAATCCAACTGCGATCAATCTGCGGGAAGACTGTGGGAGTACTACTTGATGTCAGGTAGACGTACAACAGCTTGAAACACCGAAATCCGACACCGGAAAACCCCACCCAAAAGAAAACGCTAACGGACTTTGTCACTTTTTCCCCTGTTCCGCGAATTTTCGGCCGGCCAGGAGCAACCCTCATACAGGCAAGGAGCGTTTGGGTGCGTCAAGTGGTAAGACTGAAAAGCGTGTCAGGTTGCCCTTAGTTGGTGGTTTGGATTGGTTTGGACGGGAAACCACTCCCTTGGTGAGCAACCGAACCACCAATCCGACCATTCATGGGGAAGATGAGGCTACTCTCAGTGCTGCTTGATGGCGTTCGTGGCGTGCCAAGTACCATCTGCTCGGCAGGCCATGCTTCGAGCAGCCCAGCGATTTTCTGGCAGGCTGGGGGTTTTTCCGTGGCTGACGGGTCGGTCCCAAGTTGCTTGCCATGGTTGAGTTACTTGAGAACAGATCTAGGTATCCGTTCTGTTCATTGGGGGGTGCAGGCCGGTCATGAACCCCCACCAGAAGGGGACACCTGCATGAAAACATCAACCAGTTGTTTTTCACATCCGGGGTTCCGATGATTTGCATGAACAAGGTCGCCACCTTGTTCGAGTCTTGAGGCACATCCTGGCAGTCGCATGCAAGTTATGCATTTAGGAATGGCGGCAAACTGGGCCGAGTTCGTCTACCAGCTTTGCGTAGCTGCGTACCCCATGGTGATTTCGCCCGCAAGCTTGACCTACCAGGTGGACTTAAAGCTGCTTGCTTTCTCAAGGGAAAATGCTCGGTTTAAGTCCAACTTGGGGTCAAACGAATGGAACTTCCACATGGCAACGTGCTGTTGAGCACCTGCTCTATCAGATAGCATCAACAACCAATGCAATAAAACAAAGATTTGAGCACAATCCGCCAGTAGACCACACTCCAGACACACCACAACCACACAATCCAGTTGACATAGTTTGTTGCAACAAAAAACCATGTGCCACTTGCGATTGCAACGGCTGTCAGACGAACCGGCAGAATAGAATTCCAGCCTTGGACGCCTAACGCATGCATCGCTGAGTAAATGCACAAACCGAAAGAGTTCGTCTTTGTATTCTTCACCAAGAATTTCCTTGTTTTTTAAGGCTCTTCGCTGATATTCCTTTTGGGTCGGAATGAAAGGGGTCCTTTTGAAACTTCGCTCATGAGGGAACCCCCCCCCCCAGAGAGGCCAAGAGGAGAGCCACCCTTCTTTGGGGGTCCCACAAAGGAGGAAGGCGCCCGGTTCCACACGACCGGAGCTTTGCGGATTTTTTTTTTTGACTCCCCGTGCCAGGGATCTGCAGAGAGTCCGTCTCAAAATTTGCCCCCCGAAGCTGGGAGACTCGCAACTGGCGAACGTCCATTGGCCAAGCTTCCACACGACCCCTACGCCTTTTGTTTTTTTTTCTTGGGGGGGGTCCCGTATGCAAGGTTGCCTCCATGTCCCTTTTTGGAACCTCCTAAAGCGGCGATGATTTCAATCAAAACCACCAGTAACTGGATCAACCTTTGATTCGGGGAAGTCCCTTCGTGACCCATGCCAAAAGAAACACTAGCCACCCCCACCCTATTTGGAAGTTCAGCCCACGTAGCAGGTTATAACTTATGTTTTTATGCGAAGGACAAAAAACGGTTAGCCCAAGTGAAACATCCAGGTGAGCGGGCATATCTTTTTTGGAGCGTATTTTTCTCAGTGGCTCCCAGCCATCCGGTTCCTTAGCATTTTTTGGCTTTTCAGTGTTTAGTGAGGATTTTTCCATTTAACTCACTAGATCTGAGGATTTAACTCATTTTTCCATTAAACTTTACCGGGGATCTGAAGGCAGCCCAGTTTTGAGTCGGCCACTTTTTGGCCCCGGTTCCCTGGCCGTTTTGCTGCTTCCTTCCGCCCCTCACTTGTCAGGTGCGGCCAGCGAGGCACTCGGCACTACCAGGCCGGTGCTGTCCCTTTGGCGTGGAAAAGGAACCCCCCCACAGCTTCCCTGGAAATGCCAACAAACAGTGGTTTCATTTCCATGGTTTCCTAGGTGGTGCCAAATGGTTTTCGTCCACCCACAGGGTTCAACTTGCCCCCAAAAGGCCGGCAAACGGACCCTGACCCAAGTTGGATGCAAGCTCCCAGGGTCAATGCGCGGTGGTTTTACCGGCGGTTTGAACCCCAGGCATTCTGTGAGGCTCCCACACCTGTTTGGCGGGCACGAGTTTTTATCCATCCGTGGCGAGGCATCTCGGCCGAGAGCGTCGGCCAAAGGCGACGGGAACCACAAAGCCGATGCGGGAGGTTCGGTCAACATCCATGGTCCATTTGGGATGAAGCTGGGCGGGCTCGCATGAGTCCCCGCCCCCAAGCGCAAAACAGAAGCACAAACAAAACGAGGGATGGTGAAATGAGGCATTGCGGGAATGGTTAAAAAGACATTCATCGGGCCCTGAAGCAGCGACTACAAAGTTCCATGCTCTCAACTCCTCAGTATTGGCACACAACGCATGCCACGTTCCAGCTGGGCGTTGCAGGGTAATATTGGGATTGGTGGCTTCGAACCTCGGCCTTTTTTGCGCCAACTTGAAAGGAGTTTCCTCTGAAAGGGGTCGAATCGTTTTTCTTTTTTTTCTTCTTTCTTTTTTCGGTTGGGAAGCCCGAAAATGGCAAGAGGTGGTGGACTGAGCTGGAAAGCAGAGGTAAACAACAGTTAAACAACAGTGTATCTGGCAAACAAACATGATCCGTTCACCGACCGAGAACGCAGCTGACGACCAACCGCCAAATTCCGAACCCCCCCCCCGGCATTCGGATGTGGCAATCCCCATCGGAGGTCAATGAATGCGCTAGCGGCTAGCACTCTGAATTGGATCCGACCTCTACGGCGGCCACCCATTTTTGTTTGAATAAAGATCAATCGCAAACATTACTGAAACAATTATGTTTAAATAATAGTAAAGGACCCCGAGTTTTTGTTTATATATATATATATATATTTAATGTTTTTCCCCAGGTTTGGCACGGCCGTTTTGCTGCGTGGTGCTGGGGTGTTGGCTCGGCCGGTCCGTGTCCCAGTCAGTCTGTCCCCCCGGTCCCGGTTGGTCGTTCGGTCAGTCTCTCAGTCGGTCGGTCGGTCGGTCGGTCGGTGGATTGGTCGGTCGGTCAGTCGGTCCAACCCTAAGCCAGCCCTAAACAAGCCCTAAACCAGCCCTAAACCAACCCTGAACGAACCCTAAACCAACCTAAATCAACCCTAAACCAGCCCTAAACCACCCTAAGCCAACCCTAAACCAGCCCTAAACCAACCCTAAACCAACATAAACCAGCACCAAACCAACCCTAAACCAGCCCCAAACCACCAACCCAAAACCAACCCTAAACCAGCCCCAAACCAGCCCTAAACCAGCCCTAAACCAGCCCTGAACCAACCCTAAACCAACCCTACACCAACCCAAAACCAACCCTAAATCAACCATAAACCAGCCCTAAATTAGCCCTAAACCACCCTAACCAACTCTACACCAACCCTAAACCAAACCTAAATCAATTCTAAACAAGTCATTACCAGCCCTAAACCACCCTAAGCCAACCCCAAACCAGCCCTAAACCAACCTTAAACCACCCTGAACCAACCCTAAACCAACCTAAACCAGCCCTAAACCAACCATACACCAACCCTAAACCAACCCTAAACCAGCCCTCAACCAACCCCAAACCAACGTAAACCAGACCTAAACCAACCCTAAACCAACCCTAAACCAACCATACACCAACCCTACACCGGCCCTAAACCAACCCTGCGTCTTTGAACAAGTGAACCTTTGCTTCGTTTTGGAAACAAGCTTCATCGAAAACCGTAAACCCTCTGCAGCTAGTTGGCAAACCCTGTAGCTCGTTGGCAGGAGATGGTATCTCTCAGGAGGTTCAGCGCGCGCCTCAAGGGTGGCCGCAGCCGTGGCAGGTTTGGGTTTTGGGGAATCTGGAGACAACAAAAACCAGCACTCAGTATATCAAGGGCACTATGGCCAAACATGATTGGAATGGGGTGAGTCACAATGGTCCAATTTGTTGTTCTACTTACAGAAACCTAGTGCAACTCGGACATACGTGTTTCGTCATCTCTGCCCACTTGCTCGCCTGTGCAACTACTTATGGCAACAACTGGGTGCAACTTATTTTGTTTTTTCCGACTCGGCAAAGGAGATAATTGCTTCGATCCGATTCTGTCCATCGGATCGCGCTGTTGTTTTCGGTTTTGTATCAAGTTGCTGGCCGCGAGAGCAAAGCTAACCAGCAGGTTTCGTCTGCTCTTCCATCTACCAGGGTTCAATATTGGGACGATTCCAGCCGGGAAGGCTTAGAGGCCCCCTTGTCTTGCGACACGTTTGAAGTCTCCTGGGGTCAGGGAACTCTCGATTTCCCCTTTTCGGACCTTCAAAGGTGGCACTTCCATTGGAAACCACCAGTTTTGATTCCGGGCCACCTTTGAGGAAGCCAAAAGCCACGACTCTTCGAACGCTTGAATTTTAACATCCACGGACCAACGAGTCGCTGAACATGGACCCCGATGCCTTCGTGCATTCGCTCTGCCGGCCGGTCCGCCGCTCGCTCGCTTCGCCCTCCCGGCGAGTTGAACGGAGGTACGAGGGCCTTTGGGGTGCGATCGTGACCTTCCCCAAGCGCCAGCCCTTCGCCACCAACGTGATCGTGGCCACAGCCCACGGCTCAGCTAGGAAACCGGGGAGATGGAGAAAAATCCGCTCCAGAGGTGTGTGTCCTTTTATTGTTGGGAGGGGGGGGGGTGCCCTTCCGTTTTTTGTGTTTTGTTTTTTTTTTGGGGGGGAGGAGATGTTTGTCCGTTTTTGTTTTGCGGGGTGCCGTGGATAGGGCAGTCCTCAATGTCCCCTTTGGGACCTCCAAAAGCGGCAGTTTGGTTGGAACCCACCGGTAAATTGCTCATCTTTTGATTTGGGGAAATCCCTTCGTGACCCCTGTACTGCAGGGCTTGTTTTGGGAAGCCAACAGTCGACACCCGAAATCCGTGAATGATTTGGGTCTCGAAAAGCGGCTTGAAGATGATGTCTTTTTCGCAGGCGCTTGCGGAGCCGATTTGCATCCGAGTACATGTCTGGGTCACATGGGCTTTTCAAGGTCACCTCCACAACCTCACATCCCTATGTTCGAATCGTCATCCCGGCAGCGCGAAGTCGATTTGTTCCCACAGCATCTCTGACTTGTTCGGGTCTTTGATGTTCTTCCACACAGCACATTGATGAGCTGTAGTTAGGAACCCATGTCTTAGGAGAATCTCCAAAGGTGAGCCAACTGTTCTTCTTGGTTGGGAGTTCTAACTAATTGTACTCACTATAGGTGCTCGACTGATTGTCCCGCTTTGGATTGAGCTGATATCCATGTTTAGTTCATATGTGCCATGGTCAAAAGACTTCCCCTTTTCTTGGGGTTGGCAGGGATGGTCGTCTACCTGGAAGTAAGCGTGTCTTCGTTGGATGGCAAGTACCCTCTTCGGCAGGGTTGGAAGGCGCCACGGTAAGCCCCCAAATGGGGTGGGTGGGGGGTGGGGTGTCTTTGTTTTGAGGGTCCCCCTTTTTTTTGGCGGTTCAAAGGGAAGCGAGAAGGAAATTCGTTTCAGATAGGGGGGACCCCTAAAATTTGGTTTCCCTTTAACCCCACAAAAGAGGGTACGCTAACGCAAAAAGACACCCATACTGTTCCCATACTACTCAACCCCACTTGATTTATAGGGGGGTGTTCTCCTCAAGTGATGATTCCCCACGGGGTTGATTAATATGGGGTCCACATTGTGGAGACAAGTTCACATTCTTCGTTTGGATATTTCTGGTAGTGCCCTTCACCTGAGATCAAGACCTCTGCCGCTGATCTCATCGTCGGAACCTTGGATCTTGCCGCGCATGCAGCGTCATTCCCTACTGACCAGCAAGGTTTGCCCCAATTATTTCTCGCAGCCCAAACCAATTCCCAAAACAGCCAGAACAGGTTCTACTCGGGAGTTGTTTTCTGAGGCGCTCAAAGCCGCACATATCCATATGACAGTCACGCCTGAGGTGCAAAAAGCTGAAGGCAGAGAGAGAATAGACTGGCAGAGGAGCGCAATCATGCCGTATTTTCTGCAACCCTCTGGATGTGGGGGACGGCGGCTGCCTTTCGGGTTTGATTTGCACAGCTGCCTTTCGGGGCGGGAGTTACACGAGCGACATTTGAACAGCATGAGGTAGGTGGTTTTCTGGAGCTCCATGGGGCCTTCTGGAGCTACACGGATTCCAACTTGAAGTTTCTCACGCGGAGGAATGGAGCCTTTACGGCCTTCGGGTTTGCCTACCTTGGCATGATTCAATGCCACTGGGCCAAACTTCATGCACTCGGAGCATTGGCTTTTAATCAACACCATGGGGTCTTGCTCCACAAAAACCACCCGATGTGTTTGTTTTTTTTAGACACCCAAGAGCGCGCCTGTCAGATTGCATGATGCAGGCTTGTCAGTGCGGATTGCGCAAGCCAAGGGTTCATTTACGTCACGCTGTTTTCTCGCCTTTGCCCCAATGCGATTCGCTTCGCAAATCTTCCATGGGCCTGGCGCTCAATGCCTGAGAGCGTTTCCTGCCGAGCGCCTGGGAGGGAGAAGTTCCAAGGCGAGTGGGTTGACACTTGGTGGCTAGCCATCCGATTCCTTAGCTTTTTATAATTTTTAGGTGGTTTTGTGGTTGAATTTGGCAGGGGATCTGAGGACAGCCCAGTTGAGTTTGGCGCTCAGGTTGCTTTTCAACCAACACTGAGTTCTGATGAAATTGGACTGTTGGAATGCTTAAGCATCGCATAGGGTGGCTCATCAGAAATCAGGATCGACGACTCGGCACCTTTTCTGAGGGTTCCCAAGTTATATCCCCTTAAGAGGGTGCCCGGATTGCCCGTATCGCCAAGTTGCTGTTTTTTTTCCAGACACCTTGCCCTAGAACCAGTCCCAGTGACTGGGAAAAAGCGGCAACTGGCGATCCAGGTGGTGTCAAACGTCACCTTTCGGTTGCCAAGAAAATGGTAGGGAATGAGGGAATGAACCTGTCCGGATTCCCTAGGAAGCCATCCACCGATCGCAAGTCAAAGGGGTGTGCCCGCGGAAAGTTTCAGGCGGAGAAGCTGAAGTGCCGTGCGGGGCAGATTGACCTCGTAAAGCAGGCGGCCCCGGAGATGGTTGGAGACGCCTGGTTTAGGGTTGGTTAAAGGGAAGCCAAAAGGAGAACCGCTAGTTGGGGGTTTCTCTATTTGGCACATCCAAATCCTGCTGACGGACGAAACTGGGCACCAGTTGATAGGTCAGTTGCAGGATGTGTCCTGTGCCCGGTTTTATTTTTCCCTTTTTGGAGGGGTTTCCCTTGAACATCAATTGCCAACGGACAGGCCGTGCTTAGTTCCCCATGTATTTCCTGTTGCGTTGCGGGGACACTGTCCAAGACAGAGGGTATCTAGCCTCGATTGATCCTCGTCCCTCGCAGACGGCTCTGGACAATTTTGTCCACTACACCTTTGTCTACTTTCCAGTCTTCTACATCATCAAGGAGCTTGCTGCACCATGCACGCACTGCCTTTGACTGCCCTGAAATCAGAACACCCCCTCAGCGCGAAGAGGGGAATCAAAACTCGGGGCAGTAGGGTAGTAGGTTAGGGGACAGCCGCCAGAAAAGAAGATGCGGATCTCCGCCCTTTTGATTCTTTGCAATTCATGGGGGGATGTTGGTGACAGATGAGGGGCTGTTTTCTTGGAGGCAGTTTTTGACGCCTCAATTTTTGATACCTCACATGTGTGATCGTCAAGAGTTTTGTTCGATCGCCAAGCTGCCTGAATTCCGGAAAAGCACGGGGTGCGTACGGAAGCACCACGCTCTTCCAGTACCAGGACTCCATGCAAAGAATATCCACTTCCAAGCGGTCACTGACACGTGCGCAATGGTGAACACTCCTTGGACTTTGGTCATGGTTCCATGAATATGGTTTTCTGATTGTCGTCTCACATTCTAGTGAAGGGTTCACGACTAGGCGTACCGGGCCCAAGTAGGGTGTGCTGCTTGTGATCCATCGTCGCCTTCTCTCGAGCCAGCAGTTGATACCCTCTTGGGGTTGAGAGGGACACATTGAGAGGGACACCCAATGGCAAATGCTTTTTTTCTGGAGTAAAGGGGAAAAAAAGCCCCATTGAAGCTCAAGGAAGCTCAAGGAAACCCCAAGGGAAACTGAAGCGATTCGGATCCAGCAGCATCTCGCAGCAGGAGAGCATCAACAGCCTTGGGGAGAAGCAGAAGCAGAGCGAAGAGCCGCTGGTGACCCGGGCCCTGCAGAAGTACTGGAGGAGATGTTCGGGCTGTGGGTGGGAGGGGTGGGGTGAGGTGGCTGGGGTAAGTGAAAACATGGACTAAAACCTGTGGTCCCCATGGTGGTTTAATTTTGACCCATACTCAGGTGGGTGGGGAGCTTCTAGGGGTACCTTCCCACTAGTTTTCACAACAAGTCGAACCCCCCAAACCACCCTCCTTGTCATAGGTGTCCTTTTGATCGGTTAGTTTGGTTAAGAATAAATGGGTTCCACTGGTTTAGATGTTTTGTATTTCCATGGGCCATCTTTTTTCCAAAAGGCCACCTATGGATGTTCGGGCCGTGGGTGGGAGGGGTGGTGAGGTGGGTGCTCCAACGAACTGCTGCCGGAAATGCTAGCTGGGCTCAACTGTTTGGACCACACCCTCTTGCACTGCTTCATGCAGATGCATGAACCATTTTCCGCATCGCGCCTTGAACTTTTCTGGCTTGCCCTTGCATTTTTTAGTCTTTACACCTTCAAGCCTTGACCGTGAAGACTTCACCATCCCGCGCCCGTCAGGAATTGTGTCCAGGACAACTTGGCCATGTGGTCTCTATGGGCAACTTGGCTGGTGGGCTAGGGGTCTTATCCTGGAGCAGCGCACGGAACGGACTCCTGTTGGCCGTTTTTACGTTCCGGTCTTGTGAAGGTTACAATAAGGCCTATTTGGCCATGGGTCAAACTCCCGTACCCCCAGTGAACATCCCCATCCCCACTAAAATTTTCACTAAAATAGACTAAAATGGGTGGTGCACCTACCCCAAGATGGTACGATTAGGTTTGGACCCACAGCCATCTAGCCTTCATAACCATGTCGGTAGAAACCTAAGTTAATGGGTTTGGCGCTCACGTGTGGCTGACTTCTCAGATTCCCTTCGACCTCATCATCTATGCTGCGCAGCACTGAGAGAGATCTTAGCGAAACGGCCGAGTTTCACCGAGCCTGAAACTATTTGTTGGACAGTCCCAGAACCAGCATAGATGGCTCTGCCTTCGGTTTGGTTCCAAACAAAAAGTCCGGTGCCATCCATCAGGTTTGCTCCGGGCACAAGAATCGAGGAGGGCTCAAAGGTGAAAAAGAGAGAGGGAGTCCTTTATTTTTTGACCCCCTATTGAAATCAACATGAAGCACCCAAAGGCTTGGATAGCACAACCAACACCGCAACACCGCTTGTGGTCTTTTGATTTTGGGGACACCGCCCAACACGAGCTCTCCAGGTGCCCATTTGGCTGCGGCTGCCCTTGAACCATGGCATCAGCTTGGCCTGGACCATGATCCTGGCGCGGGCACTCAGCTTTTTTCTCCGAACGCGACAGAAGAAGCGAAGGTTGACCGTCTGTGGTTCAATGAGAGAGATGGGAGGCTTGCCATAGAATCAATCCTGAGTCAAGGTTTCTGTTTTCTTGCCCTTGAATGGACCCTGAATTCCCCGAAAAGGAAGCCAGAATGGATGGTTTTTCTCGGGGTCATTCCATTTGTCAATCACTGCTGAGCACCGGCAAGTTCGCTTCACGCTCGCAGTGCTCAGACCAGTGGGCTCCACTCAAGGGAAACATTCGCGACCCAGCATAGGACGCCCCGCAAACACCTCCAGGTGCTGGGAAAAAAAAAACCGAAAGGTTCTGCGAAGCTTCCCAGGGGTTCGTACAAGGGGAGCTCCAATGTTTGACTCAATCTCTTTGTTTGCAGGGCGGCTTTTGCGGCTTTTGCGACGTTCAAAATGACCGGGCCATCCGCAGGCTTGGTTCATGACGAAAAGGGGCCCCTGAAAATATTCTGACGTGTCATAGGGCGGGGGGGTTTGGGGGGTGGGGGCCCCCAGTCTGGGGGCGCGGGTCAAGTTCATGGTTCCGGCGCCTCAAAAGATGAACAATCCGGCCGTCACTTTTTTTGGCGGGGGGGTTGATTGTGTTCAAGTGGATGATGTACACCCCTGTCTCCTGGCCAACGTTCGTGATGGGACACTGCTTAGTCGTCTCCACTGGCAGCGAAGTAACATAATTTCAGAAATCGATATGGGTATGCTGAAGATAAAGAGCTACGTGGATGGGCAAAATCCTGCACCACCTAAGAAACCCTGGAAAGATGATTCCCTCCTGTAAATACCAACAAGCAATGTTTCAACCATGGATTGATTTCGTGATGCGAACGGATTTCACAACCATCCACAGTAGCGCAAACTGCAGATGTTAGCGTTTGTTTACATTTACCAAGTGGAGCCACAGCCATATCCATTCTGCCATTCCGCATGGCAGTGCATTCACAGCGCAGACATTTCAGGGGATATGCTTTACGTGTCACTCTTCTGGAAAGAACAATGCTTGCCTGTTTTGGCTGGCTGTGCCGGCAAGATGCACTCAAAGCCTCAAAGCTGTCCTCAATGCGTTTCGCTGCTCAGAGCTCCATGCGTGGCAACGAGAAGTGAGACGGCGGGACTGGCGGTGTGTACCAGGGGAATGTTGCACAATCACCCTTTGTTGCTGCAGAATGCCTTATGAATTGAGCCTCGTTGACATTGCCCTGACGTGACATCCCTCTCCACTCCTTGGATCGAGCGGCAGAGCGCTCCTCCAACGGTGTTAATCCTTGGAGACCGGTTGCGTCTTTCTGTGTTGGCGGTCACCCACCCTTTCTGAGGGGGGGTGCCCCGGTGCTTATGTGTCACTAGGCATGTGCGCCTTGTCCAGCCCCAGGTTCCACCGACACCCATTTCGTGCTGCTGAACCCTCGGGGTTGTCCATCGTTTTCTTCGCGCGACAAAATGTTCTGGAGTCAACAGCGCCGCAATTGCCAGAGTAGCAAATGCCAGGGGTGCCCCAACTTCTATCTGCAAAAGTGGCAGTTTCATGAAAAGAAAAGGTCACTCTGACGGGACAGACCTGCAGCCCAAAGTCGACGTTTCCATCGGGGTTGCCTGGGCCATGTGGGCTCAAGGACGGCAAGAAGTGGAAGGGGTTGAGCCACGCAAACCAGTCCGTTGCCACCCGTGTTCATCCATTTTTTGTGGGTTTCCGAGCAATCCAGCCTATGGATTCAGTGCAAGGTTTAGTTCGGCGCAGTGTTGGGCCGGGGCGCTGTTTCTGACCCCGGTCCAACTGGTCGCTATGGGCTCGGAGATGAACGATGAAGAGGCGAGAAGCGACCAGCGGCAAACACCTCCTCCGATGTTTAGAAGGTGGTTTTCCGAATTGCCGACCAGTATCCTCGGGTACTACTTAATAGGTGGTTTGGGTTTGGTGGTTTGGGGGGTTTGATTCAAATGGGGATAGATGAACAAATGAAGAAAACATGATGCGGCCAAACGATGTCAACACGTTGAATAAATGATAAAATAGTTATTTGAATTTTGCTCAGTATTTGGCTGCCCGAAGATCTCTTAAGGTTTGAACCCCTCCGGGGAAGGTGCCCAACAAAATCATCCAACCATCGCCGAATCGCCGCAACTAGTTTGGTGACATCGACGCAGGCGGAAATCCTGGAAAAGGCCCTCGTCGATTTAGAGATCTTTCAGAACTGCCCAAGGCATCTGATTCATCAGATCACCGAGAAGGCCAGGAGCAGCTACCCGCCCACCCCCAAAACCCCCCAACCCCCCCCCCCCCCAAATTCCCATGTTTCTCATTTAGGGGGCACCTGAATCATGAAAAAAGCAATGCAGCTCATATGGGTGTTGTCACAAAATGGACCCCCCCCTCCTTCTCCTTGTTCGGTGACTCGCAACACGTGCCGAAACTTGGCCTTTGCAGGCCACCAGCAAAAGATACGAAGGCCATGAAGAAGTGGTCTTCTCCGACCAGGCGCGACTTTGTGCGATGCGTTTTTTTTTTTTCTTCTTCCCCCTTTCTCCCCCCTCGAGGAGAAAGGGTGGCCTTTGGCCCACACCGGAAGAAAAACCGGCAAACATTTTTTTAGAGTCCCGGGTGCCGATTTTGTAGCCAAGTAGCTCTGAGCAAAGACTGAAAAGCCAGCGAGGTCAATGGCAGGCCACCCAACCAACTCCACGCCGCGAAACCAATGAAGCAACAAAAAGAGGCATTCTTGCTGGAAGGAGGCTGATCCAAGGTAAGATAATCCAAGATGCGGCGCTGGTCGCCCTCGGCAGGTGCCGTTGCTGGTCGTCCTGTCGGGGGACTTGCGGATTTGCATCGGCTGCGCGCCGGTGCCCCCGCCAAATGGATGGGAGTCGATGGGGATTCGGCGTGGGTGTTTCTTTTGGAGGCGAAGGGTGGCCTCCGACA